ATTACTTTTTGGGGGAAGTAATCAGTAATTAGTTACTGATTACTTTTTTCAAGTAACTTGACCAACACACAACAAAGCGGTGATGCTCAGCCTGAGCCGGTGTGAGAGCAGCAGAGAACCGAGGTTACGTTTCATCAAACGGCGATGTTGTGCAGTCCATGTTAGTTAAACAGTTCCGATGTTCATGCACACGAGCTTGTGGTGCTGTCACTACGGCAACCCTCACCCAGACTCAACTGACCAATCACATGACTGTGATGTCATAGCAAAAAAGACAAAAATGTCTTCTAGAAGAAATCGTAAGCGTCTGAAGTGTTTTCTTGATTAATTCAGGCAAAGCTATTATTAGGTTTGCTGTTAGCCACGTTTCACTTTGCTGGTGATGCTTTTAAACAGTGTTAGCTAACTTCTTGGCTAATGCTAACTGACTGTGATTGGAAAGTTGTGATGTAAGCGACACCGACATGGAGATAACAGAGCATGTCACTTTCACATGCTCTTGGGAGTCCCTGCTAGTGTGCGGGGTCATCAGCCTGCAGACACCTGGGCCAGGTGAAGATGGAGGACGAGGGATAAACTGTTCTCAGTAAAGTTCGTGTTGAGGAGTCGTACTCGCTCCCGTCTCCTGACTTGCTGGGCATGTGGCTGAAAGCTCAGCGCTGACTGTTACTGTGAGAGAAGCTGAAGTGAGTGACGATTGGCTGAAGCGAGGAGGTGCTGCATGGACATTTGTGAAAGCAGAGCTGTAGGCCCCGCCCATCAGCGTGCGAACTACCCAGGTTTCTCGTTCTCACGCTGCGAGCCAAGCCGGACAAAACTTTAATTAGTTCATTCATTAAAAATAATCTTCATCAGTAAGAGAGCAGCTCGAAGAACATTAAAGGTAATGGTGGCCAATCAGGAAGGAGCTGGCTTTAAGGAGGCGGAGCTAAAAGAGTTCAAACAGCTGATAAAAGATTCCAAACTGTCTCAGATAATGTTGGAAATAACATTAATGACGTGTGTGTGTGTGTTCACAGGAAATCCCTCGCAGCACTCTGGACTCGTTCATGCAGCCGTTCCAGAGCACACTGTGGCTGTTAGTCGGTCTGTCGGTCCATGTGGTGGCAGTGATGCTTTACCTACTAGACCGGTTCAGGTAAACCAACACCACGCCTCAGACCACGCCCCCGCCCTCCAAAGAGTCACTCAGCTGTCGACTCGTGTTTTAAAACAGCAGCAGAAATCCAAACAAAACGTGTTATTAACTCATCCACGTGTTCGGTCGCACGTTCAAGCCCCCGGTCACAGGAGTGAGACGGTGCTGGTGAAAATGGCTATTGGCTTTCAACAAAAACAGCCATTCCTAATGTATGGGCAGAAATCTGTGCCATCAGAAACTGAATTTGAATTAGTCTAATTTGAAATTGAATTTATGGTTTGAAAATGAATTGATTTGCTTTGAAACTGCATTTTATCCTTTAAAAATTCAGCTCTCGAATAATTTCAGTTTCAGTTCTACAATTCAGTTTTTTGGGACTTACATCCGGTTCAAGTTCAAGAAACAGTCGATCATATTTGTTTGTCAAAGCTGAATCCAGGGCAAACTACGCTAAATTAGCATTTTTAGCTAACAGCTACAATAAGCATAAAAGTTACTGTACGGCTATCATTTGTTAACATGACGCTTGTTCTTATACATGTAATACATTTATTACCAACCTGAGAGTTTATCCGCTGCTCATTCGACAACATGATGAACGACTTCTGAAGTCTTAATTCAGCTCAAGATGCTGTAGATTCCCGTCAGTAACACTTTCGGTCCGCTAGTAAAACGTAGCTCTATTAATCTGCGCTTGAACCGGATGTAAGTCCCAAAAAACTGAATTTTGGAACTGAAATTATTCAAGAGCTGAATTTTTAAAGGATTAAATGCAGTTTCAAAGCAAATCAATTCATTTTCAAACCATAAATTCAAATTCAAATTAGACTAATTCAAATTCAGTTTCTGATGGCACAGATTTCTGCCCATACTAATGAGCGCTTCATTTGGTTTGTTACCGCACGTGAAACGTACATACACGGGACAGGTGTAGGCGGGGCTACATGACGACAGTGGGCGGGGCTTGAGAGCAGCCGTACAGAAGAATGACAACGAGGGTGTTTAATCCCAGTCTGTGCCCAGGAAGACACTTAAAGACTTTTACCTGTGATGCAGTTGTGAGGTCTAACACGGCTGTGTGTGTGCAGCCCGTTCGGAAGGTTCAAAGTGAACAGCGAAGAAGAAGAGGAAGACGCCCTCACCCTGTCCTCGGCCATGTGGTTCTCGTGGGGAGTGCTGCTGAACTCTGGGATAGGAGAAGGTAAGAGGATGCTGAAGGTAAAGCCGGTGGCGACACGCCGCTACCTGCTGACAGCGCTGTTTCCTGTCTGCGTGCAGGAGCTCCCAGGAGTTTCTCGGCCAGGATTCTGGGTATGGTGTGGGCAGGGTTCGCCATGATCATCGTAGCTTCATACACTGCCAACCTGGCAGCCTTCCTGGTGCTGGACCGGCCTGAGGAGCGCATCACTGGCATCAACGACCCCAGGGTGAGGATGCACTACGTCATCTTCACAGGAAGAGGTGGTAGTTAAAAGGATGCTCTCTGTGTCTGATGCAGCATTCAGGGTCCTTATAAAGAGTCTGTAAAGCTGAAGCCTTCAGTCTCCTGAGACACGAGTGGGTTCACACCTGTTTGGTAAAAACTGGGCCTTTTAAAAAGCTTCAAAAGTGGCTCACACTCGATCGTCTGTCCAGTCTGTGCCTGATCACAGCCCGTCATTTGTTCCTTTTAAACCAGGAAAGTCTACAAAGACCAAACCTGGAAAGCGCCCAGCTCTTCGTCTGTGAGAGGACGGTTTCCTGCATTAGCAACTCAGAGGAGAGACTCACCTGGACTGAGATCAAAGATCCAAATGTGTGAAATGATCTCTGAAGTCAGTCTGAGTGCAGAGAGCCAGCTGGGGCCGGTTCTTCTGTAGGACGATGAGATGAACCTTTATTGGTCCACACGTGGGAAACAAAAAAACACTCACAGCAGCGTAAATGTTTAAATGTCTAAAGAAGTTACAGTTTCAACTCAGGGAACGTAAACAGATGTTTTTCCTGGTTTTGTTCATAAATGTGTTAAACGACGGGGTTCTCCTCGTCTCGAGTGAACCGACCCTGCGCTCACGCAGGTGCGACCCTCACGGGTGTGAGGAGAGCGTGGTGTCAGAGATCATGTCTGACGCTGTGCCGTGTGCTTTCAGCTGCGTAACCCATCAGATAAGTTCATCTACGCCACAGTGAAGCAGAGCTCGGTGGATATCTACTTCAGAAGGCAGGTGGAGCTGAGCACCATGTACCGGCACATGGAGAAGCACAACTACGAGAGCGCCGCCGAGGCCATCCAAGCTGTGCGAGACAAGTAAGCAGAGTCAGCACACCTGTGGTGAACGCACCTGTTGTACTTCTGTCAACACGTCCGCCCTCCTCCCGCAGTAAGCTTCACGCCTTCATCTGGGACAGCGCCGTGCTGGAGTTTGAGGCGTCGCAGAAGTGCGATCTGGTGACGACAGGAGAGCTGTTCTTCCGCTCCGGATTCGGGATCGGGATGAGGAAGGACAGCCCGTGGAAACAGAACGTGTCTTTGGCTATTCTCAGGTACGAAAACCTTCAGGTACTGCAGCCCATCCTGGGTGTGTTTTAGCGAACAGGAAAACTTTGAGAAGCTGAAAGATGTTTCTGTGGTGTCACAGCGGTTCTTTCACCAAAGACACATTCTGATTGGCTGCGAGATTGATTGAGTCATCACCGATGATGGCCAAGAGGATTTCTACTCCGCCGACACACTCCTGAAGCGACCAGCGGGAGGGTGTTGGTGGAGTATTACAGCTTTCCTCCCCCTTGTAATGTCGAACCATTTTCCCAAAATGTTGATTCTGTTCATCTGTTCAGTGGGAGAAGGTCTCTCTAGGAGCCTTCCCCTCTGACAGATGTCCAGCTGGGATAACCACATGTACTCAGGGCCTTCTTCATGTTCTTCTGCTCCTCTGGCCGCTGCGTCTGTGGGATGTGTTGGCTCTGGGCTGTAGGGTCATTAATGATGATGAAACTGACCTCAGCACATTGTTAGTGCTGCTAGTGTCAGTACAAAGTGTGCATCTCTGGCCTTAAGTACTCTTAATTGATGATTAGAGTCAGTACAAAAAGGCGGGCGAGATGGCAGGACACGCCCACACGAGACCATCTCACCGGAGGCCCCGCCAGGGCCGTGAAAACATAAGTGAGTGACCTGTGGAGGATGTCACACAGACACATCTCCACATTACAAACAGCTGAGCACAAACCAACATCTGAGCCATCAAATACGTGTCCGCTCACGCTTCATTGACTCTCCACAGTTCTCATGAGAACGGCTTCATGGAGGATCTCGACAAGACGTGGGTTCGATACCAGGAGTGCGACTCCAGGAGCAACGCCCCGGCCACCCTCACGTTCGAGAACATGGCGGGTAGGACTCAGTGCTGCCTCTGCTGCATGGCCGTTTAGCAGACGTTACCTGTGAAGCGTTTCACGCCGTCTCTCGTCACCTGTGCCCCTCAGGTGTGTTCATGCTGGTTGCTGGAGGCATCGTGGCCGGGATCTTCCTCATCTTCATTGAGATCGCCTACAAACGGCACAAAGACGCCCGCAGGAAACAGATGCAGCTCGCCTTTGCTGCCGTCAATGTGTGGAGGAAGAACCTGCAGGTACGCGCCTCTACTTTACTCTACTCTACTCTACTTTACCTCACAGCGAGGTCATTATAGCCAGCAGCAGGATCAGGATCAGGATCAGGCCTTTGTTTTTACGTCTGTTAGGAAAAATCTGCATCTTTGCTGTTTAATAGGAGAAGCATGAGTTCTGTGCTCAGGATGAAGGGTTGTGTTAATTAAACTGACTGCTGATCATCAAGAGTGTGCTCACTGATGCTTGGTTAGCTTTCAGTGGCTCCGTGAAGCTCGGGTCGTTTTCTGATTCACCGATGAGTGATTTATTCTGTAACTGTGACCAACAAGTGAAAAATACCCAACCTACAGCCCAGAGCCCCCAGAACATGTCATTTTCTCTTTTGTGAGTTTAGTCAGAGTTTAATCTGAGATTAGTCTGAGATTAGTCTGAGATTAGCCTGAGGTTAGTCAGAGTTTAGTCAGAGGTTAGCCTGAGTTTAGTCAGAGTTTAGTCAGAGTTTAGTCAGAGTTTAATCAGAGGTTAGTCTGAGGTTAGTCTGAGGTTAGTCAGAGTTTAGTCAGAGGTTAGCCTGAGTTTAGTCAGAGTTTAGTCAGAGTTTAATCAGAGGTTAGCCTGAGGTTAGTCTGAGGTTAGTCTGAGATTAGTCAGAGGTTAGTCTGAGGTTAGTCAGACATTAGTCTGAGGTTAGCCTGAGGTTAGTCTGAGGTTAGCCTGAGATTAGTCTGAGGTTAGTCAGACATTAGTCTGAGGTTAGCCTGAGGTTAGCCTGAGGTTAGTCTGAGGTTAGTCAGACATTAGCCTGAGGTTAGCCTGAGGTTAGTCTGAGGTTAGTCAGACATTAGTCTGAGGTTAGCCTGAGGTTAGCCTGAGGTTAGTCTGAGGTTAGCCTGAGATTAGTCTGAGGTTAGTCAGACGTTAGTCTGAGGTTAGCCTGAGGTTAGCCTGAGGTTAGCCTGAGGTTAGTCTGAGGTTAGCCTGAGGTTAGCCTGAGGTTAGTCTGAGGTTAGCCTGAGGTTAGCCTGAGGTTAGTCAGACATTAGTCTGAGGTTAATCTGAGGTTAATCTGAGATTAGTCTGAGATTAGTCAGAGGTTAGTCAGAGGTTAATCTGGGGTTAGCCTGAGGTTAGTCTGAGGTTAGTCAGACATTATTCTGAGGTTAGTCTGAGATTAGTCAGACATTAGTCTGAGGTTAGTCTGAGGTTAATCTGAGGTTAGTCTGAGGTTAGTCTGAGGTTAATCTGAGATTAGTCTGAGATTAGTCTGAGGTTAATCTGAGGTTAATCTGAGATTAGTCTGAGGTTAATCTGAGGTTAATCTGAGATTAGTCTGAGATTAGTCTGAGGTTAGTCTGAGGTTAATCTGAGGTTAATCTGAGATTAGTCTGAGTTTAGTCAGACATTAGTCTGAGGTTAGTCTGAGGTTAATCTGAGATTAGTCTGAGTTTAGTCAGAGTTTAGTCTGAGGTTATTCAGAGTTTAGTCTGAGGTTATTCAGAGTTTAGTCTGAGGTTATTCAGCCCACTATTGAGTTACATAAATGAGGAAAGCTCGGTCGACTCCGTGGTTTTATTCTTGGACTCTCACAGAGCAGCTTCGCATGATTCACGATTCATAATAATCCTTCTTTATCTGACGCCACCCTGCAGCTCGTCTTCTGTCTGAGACAAGCCGTTCTAGCTCCTCCCCCCTTAAGTCAACTTTTCCCCGATTGGCTGCCCATTCTAAATACAACGTGCAGGAAGTGGGTGTAGAAAACCACCACTATGACATAATCAAAATATGAACTTTGACCTGCTGCTTTCTGTAGTGATGAGTTTGTGGACTGTGTGAGGTCAGCAGCTGTTTCCACAAACGAGTAAAACCTGAGGCGACGTTTCTCTCCCGTCCTCACTGAGACACTGAAAAACGCAGCGTTTTGAAAACGACTGTCCTGTCGCAGTGTGGACAGTGAAAACGGAGACTTTCTAAAATGATGACGCATTTTAGTCATGTGATGCAGTCATGTGACCTATTAAACTGAGATAGTGGAGGGCGTTACACAGCAGTTGTTCTGTTTGACAGCCCTAAAAAGATCAACATCAGCCTGTCGATGCTCCTGAGAGCTTTTCTTCA